ATTTCGACATGCTAAGAGTTTCAACAAACCGTAAATGTTCACTCATGTCAATTATTATTTTGGATTTATTTTATTTATATTTTTATTTTAACATCAAATGAATTCCTAAAGTTAAAATACTAGATACCAGTCACATTTCTTACAAGTCTATAGGCCTGTTCACACAATAGCAAATATTGTGAAAATATATGCAATGCTGAAAATTTGGTGTGACCAATAAGATTTGCGTTTGATAAACCACTACTTCCACAGAGATACCGAAGTCATCTCAAAGTCAAGTTCCCATGGGGCCATGGGAAAGGAGCTGTGAATGGCAGTGAAGTGATGCAATTGGTGCCATACATGACAAAGCCAACATGGTGGATGAAATACATCAGGATTACATTCATACTATATAGAACACACTTTTTAATGACTGTAAAGTTAATTCATCTTTAAATGTATGTAGTACCTATTCAGAATGTGATTTCAGATGAACCTTTAGACTTGGTGGCACTCACAAACATTATTTTGTGAATAGCACAGGAAGAATCAAGAACCGGCTCTCCTGTCTCTGTACTCTTGTACAATCTGAAGTCCATCATTCTACAGTGAGGAAGATTATTCACAAGTGGAAGACATTCAAGACAGACACCAATCTTCCCAGGAGTGGACGTCCCAGGAAATTCACCCCATGGTCAGACCATACAATACTCGGAGTAATTGCAGACAACCCAATAACTACACCTCAGACTCTACAGGCCTCAGTTAACATGTAAAACAATAAAGTGTGTGACAGTATAATTAGAAAAAGACCAGGCAAGTTCGGCATGTTTGGAAGGGTTGCCAGAAGTAAGCTCTTCTCTCTAAAAAGAACATGGCAGGATAGCTCAGGTTTGCAAAGTTGCATCTGAACAAACCATAAGACCTCTAGAACAATGTCCTTTGAACAGACGAGACCAAAGTGGAGATGTTCGGCCATAATGCACAGCGCCACATTTGATGAAAACCTAAAGAGCACATCAGCACAAACACCTGATACCAAAAGTTACACATGCTGGTGGAGGGCTGATGATTTTGGGTTTGTCTTGTAGCCACAGGAACTGAGCACCTCACATTCATTGAGTCGACCATGAACTCCTCTGTATACCAAAGTATTCTAGAGTCAAATGTGAGGCCATCCATCCAACAGCTAAAGCTTGGCCACAACTGGGTCATGCAACAGGAAAATGATCCCAAGCACACCAGCAAATCTACAACAGAACGACTGAAAAAGAAAATAATCAAGGTGTTGCAACAGTCCAGTCAAAGTCCAGACTTCATCCTGACTGACATAAACAAATGCCCACAAACCTCAATAAACTGGAGCAACGTTGTAAAGCAGAGTAGGCCAAAATTCCTCCAGAATGATGTGAGAGACTGATAAAGTCATACAGAAAATGATTAGTTCAAGTTATTGCTGCTAAAAGTGGATCTACAAGCAAGAATCATAGGGTGTCCTTAGTTTGTCACACATGGCTTTTCCATATTGGCTTCATTTTTTCCTAAATAAATAATGACACAGTGTGATATGTCATGTGTTGTTGTTCATCTGAGGTTTATGTTCCAAATTGTAAGACCTGCCAAGGACCAGAAGATTTTTATTCTGTTCTGGAAAACCATGGAATTCCATAGGGTGGCCTTTCTTTTTCACATGACTGTATATTGGGGACTTAGGAACCCTAAACATAACTACACAGGACACAGGAGTGGAGAGCATAGTTTGATTGAATGAATCAGAAAAGAGGTTTGTGAGGAGATGTACAGTGGGGAGATAATTTGTGCGAGTGGCACTATGAGCCGGCAAACACACACACACACACTCTTAGTGTGGTGCTAGCTCCCCTCCTGAGGCAATCATTACAGGGATTTGTTCTGCTTGCACTTATAGTTTTAGCAGATCAATCGGAGAAGCATGCGCTAAAACCCATTATTAGTTCTGAGGGCAACGTCTTAGTTTCGGGTGGAAATGGGGGTGGATTGTCCACACTGCTGCCTGTTTGAAACATGGCTCCTTAAGAGAGCCATGACTGTGAACAACATTCCCCGGAGATGAATGAGAAAATCAATTAAGAGGTGAGAAGCGTTTAGTGCTATCAGTACATGCAAAAACAAATTAATTTAGTGTAATGGAGGCCCTCAGAGATCTCACTGTGACTGTGAAATAACTGGCATTCGTTTCATAACATCATAACATTCATATGAAAAACATCTATCATACAATGACAGAATCATAACAGACATCTGACATGAGTCTTCATGCAAATCTAAAATTAACTTAAAGGCTACACTTCAGAACCTAATGAACTACCTACAGAGGAAGCCTACATATGTGTGTTTCCCATGCAAGACAACTTGTAGGAATTTTTTCGGGTTCAGTATAAGTTAAGCTGAATCGTCAAAATTTGTGGCATAACGTTAGGGTTGCCAACCATCCCGTATTAGCCGGGATGTCCCGTATTTTGGGCCTAATTGATTTTTCCCGTAAGTGACTTCCCTTGTCCCGTTTTTTGACTGCTACGCTGATCTAACCACTGACTGATACAACAGCAGCAGTGCTGATCACTTGAGAATGATCACCGATACCTGTCATCATCCAATCACAGCCCCCTCACGCAGTTATACGTTAAGTAAATCAGAAATCGTGAACAGAACTGTTCGAGGAAGGCTGCGCAATCCTCTGCCACCAATTCCGTCCGTGTTTTCACTTCAGTAAATCAGTTTTGGTGAATACAAACTATGTGATTATTTTTCATGAGTCCAACATCCCGCCCCACAAGAGACGTGATCATTAAGGGAAGTCATCTTTCACTATTGTAATGTTAAATAGAGAAAAACATTTTATATTTAAGTAACTAATAGCATAATTCTTAACCTTGGACCTTATTCTTGAAACACAAATGACCAATAAAAAGGTGTCAAGCACCAAAAGCAGCCCATATTAAATCTATAAGCTGTCTTTAATTGAAAAACACGCATTTGCATGCATACTATATGCGTGTGTGTGTGTGTGTGTGTGTGTATACACGGTCACTCAACCCCAATCCCCCCCCCCCCCCCCTGTTTGTTAAAATACTCACTGCTTCAACAGTAGCCTATAGCCACAAGATGTAAACAATGTGTTCACATCATTTTAGAGTGAAATTTTTTTTTACTTTTCTGTGTAATTGTCCAATTTTACATCTCTGTTAACATGACAACGTAACGCCTACAACAACTGTAAAATAATTTAAACAGCTCAAATAATACACAAGCTTCAACAGAAGAATTAATATTAGGGCTTTTATAAAATGATAAGTTTCACATTTCTATTGAGAAATCCTTCAAAAATTGGCCCCATTCACTTGTACCTGTAACTTTTTCTCTAAACTTTTTTTAACTCAGAAAAACATTTTTTCCATAATGGGAAGTGGGGTCGGTTGTATGAGTTGTACATAAGTTACAATTTAACCTAGTTGCGACACAATAGGTTACTAAATATTTGTGGTTTGCACTTCAATGAAACATAACTAACTCTACATATAAACTAACTATTTACAGAAGCCTCTGACCAGTGGTTGGAATAGGAAAAGGGGAATAGCAAACAGAGGAAGAGGGCTGTAGCGTTCCCTTTTGCCAAAAACTTCAACACCCATAATGCACTTTTGATTTTGGCACCACTCCTCTGTTGACTGTCCATGGGCAGAGATACAAAAATGTGAAAATTTGATCTGTAGTTAAAAAGCCCTGAACCTGTCAAAACCCAGATGGACGGCCCAAAATGATTTGCATCATCCGGCAGACTTTTGCTGACAAAAATACAGGAATATCTGGGTGCAGGTAACATGGAAAAAGAGTACAAAGCTGGTTGAAAATCAGCAAACTTATCCTTTAAATACAGAGTTAGTTATAAACTAGCTAGTAGTTACTAAGCCACAAGTGCGGACTTCACATTCAAATGTAAGACTTTACGAATGGCTAATACAACCCTACCTACAGTAGGTGGTTGGACAGGATGGGTTAAAACTGAGACAGATTAATGATGTCAGGCAAAAGGTTTACATAATGTACACAGATCATTCGATAAGAAAAAAAATGTTCATTAAGAAAGTAAACAGAGTAAATTTTGATGTCAAATGGGCATTAAAGACATTTCCACCTAACATTCCTCTTTACTTATGGTAAATTTCATGCATTTCCACCTCTCAAGATCTGAAGAAGGCTGCACAGTGTGTCAGATGAAGCCTGCCCTGGGAACCTTCATGTTAGCCAATTGGACACTGCTTCCTCTGAGTGAAGTGGAAGGGGCAATTGGGTGGCGATCTGCAAGTATGTGATTATGTAACTAAATGCATCTGTTCTGCTGTTTTTTTATCTATTGGGCTATTTGAGCAAAAGTGAGTCTGTTTCATAAAGGGAAAAGCAATGAGATGGGAACTAGGCCGTACATCAGAGAAATGACATTGTGTCCTGCCACTGGCCTCTCTGACACTCATGTCAGCACTCATGTCAGCATGCAAGTTACCCCCTCCTCTCCTCTCCTCTCCTCTCCTCTCCTCTCCTCTCCCTCCCTCCCTCCCTCTCTCCCAGGAGCACGCTGAGGCAGCTTTTAGTGTACAGAATGTAAAGCAGCCAAAAGTTACATAAAACAACAAAATGGCCTGGTAAGCCCAGTTCATTCCGCTTTTACACCTCAGAGACAAGAAAAATATGAAAACTACACTTTAAAATTATTTGCTCTTACACTTGAATTCTAGTCTACGTCTTAAGAACGATTAGCCCCGCCCACTGGGAAATCTCATTGGTCTAAAATCCTGTTTCTCACAACAAACTATTAAATGTCAGATATGTTCTGATTGGCTGTTGCTCGGACATTTCATTTAGCATTTGATAAACTGGTGCAGGTAGATGACCGTGCTGGTTAGAATGCAGTGTTGGATTTCATGAAGTAAGATTAATTAGGAATGATAGGAAAGCAAAAAAATTAAGTATTCAATATTTACCTGATTATTTTTCAGGAGCAAAAACAAATTACCAGATGATCACAGACCTGAACGAGAAAGACAGAAAGATATATGAGGACATCTCGGTGACAATGGGACAATAATTTACATTGATTTGATGATTATGAAATCAAGCATCGTCCTATAGTAAATAAATAAATAACATTTTAAAAAACATTTTAAACCATATCTATAAACCACATGTATTATTTGTTTATTGTAAATTATTTAACTAACAACAAATTCATAAATTTGCCTAACCCATATGACCTTTGAATGAACCATGAAGGTAAAAAAATGGTTGATTTAAAAAATTAATTGTGAAAAACCATCTCAGCACGTCCAATATACTGTTTCCCTTCATACATTCATAGAAATGTTATTAGAAAACAATACAAAAACAATAATGTCCATAATGCCGATGTTATTTGTCAAGTACTCAATTGTACTTAGTAGGGCTGTCAAAATGACTGAAAAACTAAATTCGAATTATATTCGAATTTAAAGGGCATAATTTCAGTTAGGGGAAAAAAAGCTTTTGGCTTCTCTCCTGAGGCCACAAGAGGGCGCATCGAACAAAATATTATGCACGTTTCTTCAAAATGTAATAAAATAACACGACTATCTTTGAAAAAAAGTGCATAATGTTTAAAATAATGTTTATAAACCATACATAATAAATAAAGTTGCTTAAACAATTAGAAGAAAAAAACAGCACCATGCATATATGTATAGTTTAATACAAAGGACCGAAAACCAATCACAAAGAGTAGGCTACTTTCTTCATTTAAAAACATGAGATACAGTGGGAGGGGGAAAAACCGCAATAAAGTCTTGAGACATGTTTTTTTTAAAGTTGAACTTACTTTAATTTTGCATGGCTTTCTAAACATGCCACTCTCTTGTGCCAGTTTTTTTTTATTTGACGAATACTAGTACTTAGGGGTGGCTGATATGATCAAAAGCTTATTTAATGGTAAGAATAAGCTCATTTTATTTCACAATAACAATATATATCGCAACATAGTTGTTTTTGTTATTTTATTTGATCTTTTTTTTTTTTTTAAATCAGAACAAAATTGCAAACAACAGGACACACAACATGACAAAGACAGTAATAAAAACGAAATACTGTAATACAGCAACTGAATAAACAAAAGGACTGTAACAGCCTTCACTGTATGAATTAAATATACATTTCTTATTAAAGCTACTAAAGTTATTCAGTCAAGAGTAGTGTGTGAGTTTCCTTTTGTTGTTTGATTAACATTAACAGCATAGCAGCAGGTATATTACGCTGATACTGCTTTAAGATCTAATGCACAGATCTAATATACGGAGACAAATTAGATTTTCTCCCAATTGCTTGCGTTCACTTAAGACGTAACCCACTGCTCTTTGAGAGGCAGCTTTCTGGATGTGCTTCAGTCGTCGACAGCATGAGTATTAAAGTTCTTTTTCATGGCTTATTGTTCTTAATAAAGTTTTTAACATCAAGTACGTTCTATGCTTTATTTTCTTAGGCAAATTTCTGTATTTACACACTGCAATATAGACAAAATTAGCAAAAACACTATAACAGCCACAATATAAATACTGTCATACCACCCAGTCCTTATTGTACTCGAAACTTTCTAGGCCGTTGAGCTCTGGAATAATATCGAATGCATATACACAACAGTGTGAATAGAAAACTTAAAAAGAAGACAAGAAAAACAAACTAAAGTAAAAGTTCCAAAATGCTAATTATGAGGCTCCACTTTTTTTTGTTTGAGGAACGTGATGCATCCGGCATCCTGTTTGCATGCGCAGGTAGGAGGTGGGGGGTCTGTTTCCTCTCCAAGGGCCTACAGATGCACTCCCTACCCACATAGTGTCTCTTTTGTTCTCTAATAAATTGACACTGCCAGTTCCCCACGTTGCCAAGACATGAGGAAGACCACCGGGAAAACGAAGTAGGAGCAGCGCCACTACATGTGATTGGTATCACTTCTGACTGACTCTCTTCATGTTTTTATCTGCAATGTCTCCACAGGCATTAATTTCAAAGCTATGATTGAGGGTGCTAAGACAAAAAAAAATTTAAAATAGAAACTCATTGTGTTCAGTCAGCCATCCATATCATTGAATAAGTTGTATCCTGCCAGATAAGCCAACAGTCTAAACGCTCATCAGCCATACAATTTTTGTACTTTTCTTATTTACATATAAAATTACAACAAAAACTATGTCATGGCCATCCAGGAACTAACAGTACAATGAATGCACCATAGAGAAACCTATTTTACAAACAGTGAAATACTCTGTCTTTTAAAATAAAGCATATTATTCAAAATATTTAAATATGATTCCTCTAAGTATCAGTGTATCCTGAAGTGTTATGTTAATATCACTGATATACGAATACAGTTTTTGTTAGTATTTAGAATTAGATTTTATTTTATATTTTCATCTTAATTTAAGTTAAAGTTGTAGTCATTTTTTTTAGTATTTAGTATTTTTATAATTTTCATTATTTTAACTTTTACATTATGGTCTATATATTTTTTAGGGTTTAGTTTTTAGTTTAGAGTTATTTGATACTTAAAATGTAAGAAATGTTGCTTTGACAACTAGATGAAATAAAGTTTATAAAATAAGATAAAGGAAATTATATTTTATTTCTGTTAATGTTTGTTTTACTTCAAGTTATGAAAATGTTTTTTTATGGTTTAGTTTTAGTTAACGATAATAACCCTGATTCTGAATAAAGGTTTCATTGTCTCATTAAGAAAATGTTTTTGGCTCCTACGGAATATTTTGCAATTAAACCAAGGAAAACTAAATCAGCCCATGACACTTTTGCCTCAAAACCCCATTTTTCAAGAAGCGCAGGAGAAAAGCATCATGTGATTTTTAGAATCTCCAGCCAACAAGCAGTGAAATACGGCTCAAAACAATTTAGTTGAAAGCTGGCAACATTTCTGTGCCTTTGGAATGACTACACCAATAAATGAAATAGACTCATAAATTCTTCATGGCCAGTGGCCATAAGTGAATCCATAACTGAGGAAAAATCTGTTGCATTCACCTCTGTGTGAGGATTCTCTCTTATGTAATTGGCAAAATAATTCTTCTTCTTCTGCAAAATATGTGACTCATTGTATTGGGGAAAAACTGTCATTATTTATTCACCCTCATGTCGTTCCAAACCTGTATGAATTTCATTCCGCCATGAAAAACAAAGCTTGAATGTATAAAGAATATCCTGGCCACTCTCTCTTTTTTTCTATATAATGGAAGTGAATGGGATCTGGAATTGTCAGGGGCCAAAAACCGCAAAAATGCTTGACTAATCCTTTATTTTCATCCAGATCTTTTCCGAACTGATCCAAACAAACTCACTGACTCAACTTGTGACTGGATCATTGAAAATAATGATTCAATAATAGTGGCGAACCAAAATTAACCAATAGTTTCAGTTTTCAGCTAAATGAATTGGGGAAAAACTGTCATTATTTATTCACCCTCATGTCGTTCCAAACCTGTATGAATTTCATTCCGCCATGAAAAACAAAGCTTGAATGTATAAAGAATATCCTGGCCACTCTCTCTTTTTTTCTATATAATGGAAGTGAATGGGATCTGGAATTGTCAGGGGCCAAAAACCGCAAAAATGCTTGACTAATCCTTTATTTTCATCCAGATCTTTTCCGAACTGATCCAAACAAACTCACTGACTCAACTTGTGACTGGATCATTGAAAATAATGATTCAATAATAGTGGCGAACCAAAATTAACCAATGGTTTCAGTTTTCAGCTAAATTAAAACTTTCATTTCCGTTTCGGATGAATTTTGGTGCCTCACTAATCAGTAATTAAATTTCACTCTGTTCATCACACAAAGCCATGGACTATTTTTATGATATCATATGATAGTTTTAAACCTTTTAAGTTCCAGACACATTTATTTATTTATTTCTCTCTCTGTTTTTTTTTCCTGAAGAAAGTAAGTCATGTTTGTGACACTATAAATGTTGACAAAGTTTCCAGCTAATCTTTTAATGTAATTTTATGTTTACAAATATGGCACTTTTTTTTCCTCTTACACCAACTACATCACTTATTTTTACATTCTATTAAGTTTAATATGATGTTTAATAAAAATGAATGGTTGAGCCATTCCCTACTCCAACTTCCTATTATTCCCAGTTAGCCTCCAGTGGTTCAGTGAGTCTCTTTGGTGGAATCCCAGGATAATGTATTGTACGCATGCAAGTTTTAGTATACTGAGCTGAGGTGGATCAGGGCCTAGAAGACCACTATCACTGTCCATGGCCCAATGCAACCACATAGCACCTGAGGATCAGAGGGGCAATTTAACATGAAGACCTTCACTTGGTCTTAAGTGCTGACAGAGGCCACGCTGATGCACACTGTATGATTACAGAGAGACCAGAAAGGTCTCAATGCCTGACAAAAAATACATTTAGGTGAATTCACCTTTGCCTTGCCTTTTAACTCTGTGTTGTGGAGAACAGAAATAGCCATGACTCCAATTTGAACCAAAAAAACAATATTTATATATATCTGTTATGCATCTGGGTCCAATGACATGATGCACATTTTTGTCCCAATCTATAAATTTCTTCCAAAATACATTAAAAGCACTAATGTGATTTTTCTAAATTATTTATTTCATTATGACAGAACAAAACTATTCCATTACCGTAATGAACAAATAAGAATGATATTCTCGAAAAGAAAACCTTAAGTACAATAATCTTTTATTAATATTTCTCAGAAAAATCACCCACAAACATGTTGAAATATGCAAACAAAACTTAAAACAGGACATGATATCACAGACAGGGCTGTTCGTCGAGGTCAATAAGTCTCTTAAATCATCAAAATCATTTGACCTTTTTATGACAAGGAAAGGCTAGTTTAGGCTGTAAAATATTGTGTATTGCTACTCTCAAAACTTTTTTTAAATTTATGAATAATTCTTGATATGTATACAAAATATAGAATTGTTACCTTGAAAAATATATATATTTTTAAAAT